TCATTCAGACTGCCTACTTTGCAGTCTACTGGGACACAAACCTTCTGTGTCTCGGGTTCTTTCACCATATACATTAAGAATAGATCCACATTTAACATTTACACTTTTTTTTTTCAAATTCACATATAACATCTACTTATTTATACTCTTTAAGGGAACTATAGAACTACTTTAGCAAATCTATTTCTTATTGCTTCTCATATACTTATATTCATTCCATCTTATTTCTTATTTAAACTTACATTTACAACTAACAATCTTTACTTCTTACAAGCTTATTACTACATGTCTTAAGACTACATTAGATACTTCTTGCAAGCTTATATTCTTAAAGGAACTCTATAGATCTATTTTTAGCATATATTTAACTTAGCAAACACCTAAAGATTTTTTAACACAGAGATCTAATGAGAATTTTACAAACTCATATCTTATTTTCATCTTTTTCTATTTCTTACTCTTAACTATTATCACTATCTCTATTAGAAAGATTCTCTTAACTAGACAGGAAGTACGTACATCATTTCTAAAGTTTAGAGTTTATAGTCAGCTTTGCTATAAAGCACTGGGATTTAGTGAGTGTTGTTACAGAATTGTGATAGTTGTTGCTAGGGGACTATAACCTTCTCAGGATGATGCCACACCCCAAAGTTGCCAGTTCTCTCAGCCATTCCGGACTGGCAGAGATGCACTGTCAGCGGTAGACGGTCTTTAGAGGCTGTCCCTTCACCCAAATTCATAATAGCTCCCCTAAGAACTTCAATTCAAACAAACATTTCTATCACAGCAGTACTTTTGGTTTGCTCTACTGAAAAACTTCACTTCACGCTGAGGGTGAAATTACCATATTTAGCTGCTGTAAAGCTCTTCGCCAAATACTTCACAGCTATTAGGTGATATAAAGTATTTTTCTAAGCGACACAGCTCCGAACTCTTATTTCCTCACTGTTTGCATTAAACCAGTGACAAAACCTCAGAAATACTAATCGAGCCACTTTCGTTCTGGTTCCTTTATAGGAACATCATGGGAGCTGACCCTTCCTTAGTTCCACGCTCCTTACCAGACACTCCGGTAACCACCGAGCTTCTTTCTCCTCTTGTGAAAAAACAAACATGTCCTCGACCCCATATTAACACAGGATCGGGACCCTTCCATAATCCCGAGCAGGGATCTTGCCATTTCATTTGAGTTTCAGGATTTAGTATTTTCACTTCATTAGCTTTAACTCCTGATGTTATTAGCAGGGGTGATATTTAGCATTGATTTCTTCTAAGGAACTTTCAGGTAAAGCAACTATTTTGTAAGACAGCTAGATTTTCTGAAGTTTGTTTTCCATCTATAAAGCAGTCATTTCTTTTTGAATGCCTGTTTCCTTGTCTCCTTATTAGATTTGCAAAGGAATTACTCATTGCAGGCAGTTTGTTCAAAAGGCAAAGAACTTTTTTAATTTCAACATAAGTTTCTTCATATCTAAGACAACGTTCAGTGTATAAACTGCTTTCCCTTGTTTTAAGGATTTTAAAGTAGCTTGTTTGCTTGTATAGGTAGCTTTTTGTCATCCAACTACCATAAAAACTTTGCACAGCTATTAGGGTAAATAAGGCATTTTACCATGGGCGCCCCAAACCACGAAGCACCTAGTTCCATATCCTTTCAATTTTTCATTGGAACTGAGACTTAAACTCTTAGATGATTTTCCTCCTTATTTTTTTAAAAGCTGTATATTAAGTTTACCATGAACATATTATCGAGCTGACAAATTGTTTCAGGGCAATGTCGCCATCTTTAGCGGAAAAACTACCTTTCCCAGAATGCATTTCCCTTATCAGTCCATAATAATATCAGTCCCTTATATCATTTCCCTCATATCAGTCATTTCTCATAGTTCTTTTCGCGTCTGAGAGTCAACTGGTTCTCTTTTTACCAGACTTGCTTACAAATTCTTGCCCGGGATGTTTGAACAATGTTTTTTGCTTTTGCAACAGGAAATTTGAACAAGCAGTTTACATTTTCAGCTGTGGCACATTGGGAGATTTCTATTCTCTCCTCAGCTGGCTTTGACAGGTGTCTCTCCTTCATCAGACACTGGCCCCCGAATCAGAACCGCACCTGCCTCATTAGCGCTCATTGAGGCTGGCATTCCTGATAGCAACTTTCCTCTGGGCTTGTGTTTGCCTTAGCCAGTCAGTAAAAAACAACATCATTTACAACAGCTTTTCCATAGGTCCTTCAGAGAGATTCTCTCCCACTGATCTTATTCTCATTTTGCTTGTTCCTTCCCCCCCAGATGCAGAGCTTCAGGTATCGGTCTGCAGCTCTGTACCTCTGCTAGCTGCCTTTGGAGGTAGGGGCTTTCCCCTGCCCCAATCTGCCTCAAACTCTCAGCAGCTTTCACAGGTCATATTTTTCTGGGGAGGAATCTGTCCCTTCTCTGTTTTTTCAGAGTCTTTCTCCCTGACAGTTTCCAGTTTGGTCTCAGTTTATCCCCTCTACCCCAGAAACAGTTTCCGACACTACAGTGGCGGCTTTCCCTGCTACTGAAGGTAGGGGCTTTAGTCCGTTTGCTTTCAGGGTCTGTGTGGTTTGCGTACAGACTAAAAAATTTAACAAGGGAGGTTTTCGCCATCTCTAAACTCCCATTAGGACAGGTGCTTTGCCTCATCAGGCCTTCACCTGGCCCAGTCCCCCAGTGGGTTGCATTTGCTTGTCTGGGTGCTCAAGGACAGAGCTTATGCTAGAGGCAATCACCCCTCAGGGCTACACTCCCTCATCTCATCGGGAGTCAGTTGAAACAAAGCTTTTCTCAAAGAGATGCTTTCTCTGACAGAAAAGAAAGCTTTACTCCTGGATAGTTCTGTTCTGCCCTAGCTGGGCTCTTTCCCCAGACAGCGTTCTGACTCAGCAGCACAACTGCTTCAGACACAGTTCAGCTTTACTGTTTTCCCAGAAAGGTCCTTACTCTGATAGGAAAGCTTTTCTCGGATTTCTTTTTGCAGCTGTGGACCTTTCAACCCGGGACTTGTAGGAAAGCAGACAACTGTGCCGTTCCCACCGGCTTTAGCTTTGTTTGTTCATTAGCAATCTTCCCCTGGGTCCTACACCTTCCTGCCTCAGCTCTGTGCTCCAGGAAGTTTACCACTGCAGGAACCCTAGTATCCCCGAAATGCACTCCAGCTCAGAGATGTTGGCCAGTCGCTTCTGGGTTTTTGGTCAGAAGTGAGGATACAATGCTAACAGTTTGTATTGCTTCAGGGGATCTTTGCATTAGGCCGATTAGGAGCACCTTTCCATTCTGAAAGGCTCACTCAAACAAAACCCTTGATGCCTCAGCTCGGCTGTAACGGAAAAGCTTGGCTTTTTTGCTTTTCTCAGGTAAAGTTTCCTGCCCTTTTGGACTCTCTGTAGCTCTTCACCCACACTCTCCCCAAGCGTTTCCCTCAGGGTACTCGGACCCACTGTCTTTCACTAGCTTGAAGAGACAGCTTAGAAGAGGTTTTTAGGAACTTGTCCTTGCCTCCTGCATTGCAGAGAGGATTTTTAAAGCTTGAAAGAGAACTTGAAGAGGTTTTGCCGTCTTAAGAGGTTTGTTTTCCCTTAGAGCGAATCACGGGTGGTCCCCATACTAATATCTTCAGGTGATTCTAATTTGTCCTTCTGAGAGAGTTAAAGGCTTTAGTTTTTAAGTTTAAGAGAGCTTTTGAGCAAGATTAAGGCTTAGAGAGATTTTTTCCCCAAAATTTCCAAGAAGAGCTTTATAGTTAAGAGAAAGATTCCCCCCGCCCCCAGGAGAAAAAAAAGACCAACTTTTCCCAAAACTTCCCAACTTTAAACTTTGACTTTTTTCACCCCCATTTTTGCCCCAGGGAGAAAACACTTTCTCCTGCCACTTGGACTTAGCATTTCAGCTGTCCCCAGGACAAGAGCTTCCATAAGAAACTTTTTCTTCCCAATAAGCTCAAAGAAGAGCTTTTTTTACTACCTGAAAAGCCCAAAGAAAGATTTCCCCCCAGTTTGCATTCATAGCCCCCAAAGTTAGAAAATTGAAAAGTTTTTCTGTCTAGTTGCCTTATTTTTTCCTACACAATCTTACACTTCTAAGTTTTTCCTACACTATATTACTACCCTATACCTTATACTTATTTTTCAAAGATAGAAATTAAGAAAGGTATAGAAGATAGAAAATTTTGACAGAAGAGAATTTCGCTGCAGCATCGGACATCCTTCCAGTCCGCTTTCCTTTTCTCTCGAGGATAAAAACCCCTGCCTCTCAATAATATATATATATATACATATATATATATACATATATATATACATATATACATATATATATATTTTTTTCCCCATAACACTGGCATGCCTTTCCACTGGCAGGGCTGACTCACACTTTCAACAAAAACTCTGTAATAAAACTATTATTTTCCTTTATCTTTAGTCCCTACTACTTTGTCTTAAGTCCCTGTTCATTTGTCTTTAGCCCCCCCTTTTTTTAGTCCCCCCTTTTTTTCCTTTAGTCCCTTTTTTCCTTTTTTCTTTAGTCCCTGTTCATGGCGCCATTCTGTGGGGCGTTTACCCACCACCCCCACAGCTCCCCAGAGTTTTCTTGAGTGTGAGCAGTAGGAAATATTAGAAGGATTTATTGTGGAGATAAACAGATAGAAAATAAAGAATAGTCTCGAGAGGGCCTGGAACCTTTTCCAACCGGCCCGACTGTCTCTGCCCCAGGGTTTTTATGGAGACGCCAAGGGGTGGAGCAAAAGACACCCCCCCTACCCACGCCAGCACAGCCAAGTGCAGAGCATCTCAGACACCTGCACTCAGGCCTGTGGTCCTAATCATCCTCGATGCGGACCTGCTGGGTAAAGCCACGAGGAACCCGAGAACGGGCTCCCACAGTATAGCATTGTTTTCTTAAGCAGTCTCATTCTTACCAAGTTTCTCGATAAAACTCAGTGAATTTTCATTTGTTTATATTTCAGATGACTTTTTTATTCTTTTAGGAGTTTGAGCTTCTGAAGTCCTCTCTGGCAGAAGAAAGTGCACTCCGGTGTTAGTGCAGCCACGATGTCGGGTGTGCAGTCAAAAGCAGCCAGGCTTCCAAAGGAGCCCAAGGAAAAGCCGGTAGCAGGCGCGGACAGGGACATGGACAGGGACATGGCCCCATCCGTGGATTTAAAGTACAACGACGTATCGGCAGCCATGATGAAGAAGTTTAATGCTTTAATGGAAATGCAAGACATGATGTTTGTAGAGATGAGGGAAAGCCTAAAAAATGATCTAAAGGAAATGCTGGTTAAACGTACACCACCTGAGGTGAAGAGTCCGGAGGACCGGGGAGAGCAGCGAGAAGGAAGAGATTCAGCCTCAGAATGGCCAAAGCCAGGAGAGAAAGTGGAGGAGGAAAGTTCTGGAACAGATGAGGACCCTGGAAACCTCACCGTGAAGAGCGAGAACAAGAGTCAGCTGAGTAGGAAGCAGGACAAAAACCAGCCCCACAGCATCCACACCGGGAAGCCATCACTAGAGAGGATGGGAGAAGCCCTGCAGCGTGTGGTTGACTGGTGTAGCGAGAGCGGTGGCCATGCAGGCGTTCAAGGCGAGGACCCGAAGAATGGGGAGGACAAACCAGCCAAAGAAACAAGCTACCATCAGAATAAAGAGAACCCCCCAAATGCCCCCGGAGACGGCAGCGTGCCGGAAGCGGGAGCCACCCTCAGGCTGGCTGCTGACTTCTCAGCAGCCACGCTGGAGATCAGTAAGCGGTGGGGCAGCATCTTCCGCCTTCTGAGGGCGGAGGGGCTGGAGCCTGAGCTGCGGTGCTCGGTTAAGTTAGCGTTTAAATGTGAGGGTGAAGCAAGGACTTTCTCCGACCTTGACAGCCTCCGCCAGTTTACCAGCAGAAAGCCTTTTCTGAAAGAATTACTGAAAGATGTACTCCCGCCAAACGGAGCAAGAAACGGAGGACGCAGAAATGAGCTTCAAGAAAGATGGGTAAGTGTATAAGGACGGAAGAGTCAAGTGTTAAGAGTTGGCGTAATTCTTTAAAAAGCATAATGTGAATTTTCTTTTAAACTGTTTTATGTGCATTGGTGTTGGATCCCCTGAAACTGGAGTTACAGTCAGTTGTGAGCTGCCCTGTGGGTGCTGGGAATCGAACCCCAGTCCTGGGGATGAGCAGCCAGTGCTCTAAACCGCTGAACCATGTCCCAGCCCCGTGAAGTTTCTAATGTTAGCACTTGAAGTTGGAAACAAGAGTACTGTTGCAAGTTTAAGAGATGAGCAGGGAATTAAGGTCTGTTTGATAGGAGTTCTAGAGACTGATAGGAAAACATTATGTTAAAGTTTAAGGTTAAACACTAAGAATATCTTTAACTCATTAAAAAGTGGGAATAGCAGTGTTAATATCCGGTGTTACTGGGTTTTATATTCTTTCTAAACATTGCTCTGTGTGTAAGAGTGTTTTGCCTGCATGCACATCTGTGCATCATCATGTGCCTGGTGCCCTCAGGCCAGAAGAAAGCATCAGATCCCCGTGGAGCTTACCCCATGTGGGTGTTGGGAACTGAACTTGGGTCCTCTGAACTTGGGTCCTCTTAACCATTCAGCCATCTCCTGAGCCCTTACACTCTTTCAAAGCATCACTACTCTCCATTCAACATCTCACTTCACCCAAACTTAACCTGGGTGGGTTTAAATTTATTGACCACTCTGGTTTCCTCCTCTATAAAGTCCTGTTCAAGCCGGGCGGTGGTGGCGCACGCCTTTGATCCCGGCACTCGGGAGTCAGAGGCAGGCAGATCTTTGTGAGTTTGAGGCCAGCCTGGTCTACAGAGTGAGATCCAGGACAAGCACCAAAACTACACAGAGAAACCCTGTCTCAAAAAAACAAAACAAAACAAAAGTCCTATTCAAGTCTTCCAATAACTATATTTTTAGATTGCTATTTAGAGGTTGTATCAGCTGCAAATACCATCTTCACAGACACAGGTTCTTGCTATGTATCCCAGGCTGGTCTCACACTTACTTTTTCTTACCTCGGCCTCCTTGGAGCTGAAATTGTAGGTGTGTACCACACCACATCTGCTCTGGTCTCTCTTGTCTTTTTTCCTGGTACATTTTGATTTATTGTAGAGGGTATCATATGCATGCTGGTGATACCACTGCATGAACATTCGAGAGATCCCATGGCCAGGTCCCCTTAGCCATAACATTTTCTGGGTAATCTGACTGTTGTGTGCCATAACTCTGTGGTGGTTTGCATCTCCCCATTAGTAAATCTTCGTTTTAAGGTAGATTTTGTAAACAGATTTTTTTTATTGAGGTGGGTTTTTTTAATTTTTAAAAATTTTTTATTTTTTATGTGTATGATGTTTTATTACATTATGTGTATGTATACCATATATGTGCTTGGTGCCTGAGGAAGACAGAAGAGGTGTCATGTCCCCTGGGACTGAGGTTTCAGATGTTCATGGGCTGCCATGTGGGTGCTGGGGATTGAACCCAAGTCCTGAGCAAGAACAAGTGCTCTTAACCTCGGAGCCATATCTCCAGCCCCTCATACTGAGGTTTTTAACACACCTAGAACTTGTACCACTTTGTGTAAGGTTGGACTCAAACCTCGGTGTCCCGTGTCTTCCTGTTGCTCACTATTTTATTTTTATTTGTTGTTTGTTTGGATAAAGGCTCTCATGTAGCATGAATCTTCAAAGTTCTTATTAATAAAGTCAAACCCGAGGCCAGTTATTGGGGTCAATGCTGGTAGATCAGAGAGACAGAACAAGCCACAGCTATCTCACCTCGCCGGATCCTCAGCTGGTCTTGTCTCCTCAGACTGGAGGCCTCTGAGTCCTCATCCGGAATGGGTCTCACCTGAACTGCTGCTCGAAAGCCTGAAGCTTAACCAGCCACATTTTTAACCAGCCAAATGCTTCTAGTTTCTGGTCCTCACGCCTTATATATCTTTCTGCTTTCTACCACCACTCCCTGGGATTAAAGGCTGGCTTTCTGGGATTAAAGGCGTGTGTCACCATGCTTGGCTATTTCCAATGTGGCCTTGA